GTTCGTTTTTACAGCTTATTAAGAATATAAAGCTCAACATTTTTGCATTTTTTCCAAGCAATTAGTGCATTGGTTGAATTTTAATTAATTTAAAACGATTTGAAACTAAGACGGTAAAACGCTCAAAGCGCCCTCATTTTTACTCCGCCGTACTAATTTTTTTGGGGTCCAAAAAATCAAGCAATTTTGTATCTCGTTTCGTCTCCTAGTATGTAGTTCTCCGTAGTTACAATTCAGGATACAGCTTCCTTGTTTCCGCTTTTAATAGCCTGTAGCAAAAAAACTTGGAAAATTATTTTGCCTACAGAAAGTGCAAAATTTAAACTCTTGAAATTTTTATAGATAGATTTTTTTTTTAATTTTCTCCATGTTTGTGGTACCTTACCCTACATGGCATTTGTCTTTGAAGCGGGAGTTCTGGCGCACTCTGTATGTGCATATCATGTAGAATGTGACTCCTTCAACTTTTAGAATCGCGATATCTCAGGAATGGTGATTCTTAGAAAAAAAAAGTATAAGGACCATTTTTGTAGATAATTTCAAGATCTATAATTTTTGTCTGGGCTACTTTTTTGATAAAACTTACCGTTTTCGAAAAAAATCTAAAAAACGTCAAATTTTGACCTTTGATCCCGAATAACTTTTTTAGCACACATGGGATCGATGGGGACTTTTGACACTTTATTCCTAATGGTGTACCCAAGGTCTCCACCAAAATTTAGCTCTGTCGGAATTTTAGTTATTTGAAATGTCTATTTTGACCGGACTGGGTGTGGCTTATTCTTGTAGGCGGAGACTCGGATAGCGAGGCCGAAAACGAGAAACTTCTCGAATTGGACGAGATAATTCGGACTTATGAACCTTCCGAACTCGACGAAACGCTAAATCCGGGTGAAACACACCAACTTCATGTGGGGATTGAGCGCTACAGAGCCCCGGAGTTGCTTTTCAAGCCGTATATGTTGGGGTCGGCGGAAGCCGGCTTGTCGGAAGTCATCGGTTATGTTCTTTCGTTATTCAACAACGAGGAGCAGTTAAAACTGGCTGAAAATGTTGTTATTATGGGCGGTTTGGCTAATTTGCCCGGGCTACAGGACCGGATTCTTTCAGATTTGATCAGTATTCGGCCGTTTCAGTCCGTTGTTAATGTAAAGACGGTGAAAAACCCCAGTTTGGGGGCCTGGCATGGGGCGAGGAAGTGGACCAAATCGGGGGAGTTTAAAGGGAGTCTTTTAACGAGGAAAATGTACGAGGAGTTTGGGGCCGAGTATTTTAAGACGCATGTGGCGTCGAATCCGTTTTATCACACGCCAAAAGGACAGAATGTCGATATTGATATGGCGTAATAAAGTTATAAAACAGTTTTAATAGTGTATTATTTCTTAGGTAGAGAAGAGATTTTTTATAGTCAAGATGCGTAGCATCGAGGTTACAAAAATCTTCTCTTTCGTGTTTTACATAACATTTTCTTCACCCAGTGCCGTAACCAGGATTTTATTTCGGGGGGGTTTCTTGTTGGAAGACGGATTAAAAAACAAAAATCTCTAAGTACACGTTTTTATTTTAAATTGAAATAAGAGATCCTAATTAAACATAAAAAAATACAAATTAACTCACAAAAGTAACAAAAAATAAAATAAATTTTTAATACTTTTTATTGTTACAAATTTAAACAGAAGATGAATATTCATTTTTAAAACAAAAATTTTCTATGAACATATATCGAAAAATGCTACGCAAGGGGTGCGTCTTTTAATAGGTTTTTTTCAATATTTCCGAAATAATTTTAGAAAAAAATTTCAAAATTTGCTACAGATGATAACTTTTATACACCTAAACAAGTACAAAAATAAAATGTTGAAATTTTTAATTAGGTGCTTCCTAAACTAGATGGGATTAGAGTAAAATTTTACTCTAACTACTTTGCCTGTGGTTTCTTGCCACTTTCAGCAACAAAATTTCATAGTTTTTCATAAAAAAAGCTCTTTTGTG